TTCTTTGTGTTTTTATAGCTATATTGACGGTGGATCTGTTCCTGAGATATCATATCGACATTATCGGTTGGGTTGGACAAGAAGAACAAAATTCTGAAGCGCTATTTTTCCACGTGCGTAATGTTCGCAAACGCACAGTTCGGATACCCATTGGAGCATAGTGAGAGTAGGTTTTTAATATCCACATCAAAAAACCAATGTTTCAGCCATACAGATTTATCCCAGCGGCGTCATGTCCCACTCCATCATTTACCGGCCGGGATAAAATGTAACTCTTTTCGATACTTAAAGTTCCCCAGGTGATTATCCTCCGCTAAACTTTTGATTTTCAAATAGAAACGAATATAAATCCAACATTTTACCATGAATACATGAGCATTTATCACACTTTAACGGTACATAATTTTGGCAAAACGTGTCTTAAGTCAAAGCAATTCTATTTATACCACCCATAAAAGTACAAAGACGTCATTAAAAGTTCGTCTTTAACTTAGAAATGAATATTTTCAAGGCTCCCACACCACCGCCGCCGCCCCTGAACAAGCTCTGACCACTCGCCCGATTGCTAGTTGCATTACATGAATATAAAGAACAGTAAATGTCGTAACAGTAAACTTGTTCACAAAGAACAAAAAAAATCTTTTGTCTTTGCAATTTCCATTTCGTACAACTTCAACAGCCGCCCCAACCGCGCACGTCACGCCCTGCTTATTCTCACAGCTCATAGCCACATGCAGCGTACTTTTCACGTACCTTTTCTATTAGCTAAGTTCGCTTTTCAACTGTCATCTCCGAAATACACGCATTTTGTCTTTCCCGCCCACCACCAACGGCTATCATCCGAAATCATAAATTACGCAATATATGTTTGAAATTTGCGCTTTCTGTTCGGAAATCTGCCCACACACCCGCCTGCACCTGTCCCATCGCAGCAGCTCACTTCTGACCACATTATTCCTGTAGCTACTTTCGCTCTTTATTATTTTGAGCTTTAACGCAAGTGAAATGATGTTCAGCCATAACATAAAAACGTCATCTTTATTGTTGTCATTTCAAAGAAGGTCCTCTAAACTCAGCCACACACCCACACACCCACATCATACAGCGCTCATACGTCTTCAGCTTCAGGTGAAATTCAACGGCTGCTGTAGATATGCGGGGTAGTTGACTACCCACACTCTGTCATCTGCAATGCTTGAGTAGCCTTGCCGCATTTAATTGGCATAATTTGGGCGCTGCAAAAAGAAGAAGGACGCAGAAGGAGGTTGCGAAATGGGAATGATACATTTTATAATATTTTTTTTTTTACATTTTGCTAATATTTCTAGCTTTTAAGTAAACAAATTGGACCCTAAATATACGACATGATTGCGCAGAAAGGACATCGTGGTGTAAGATTTATGTGCGGCTTGCAAATATCCTTGTACTGAATTATTCAAATTTGTTTTGAAACGTGGAAAATTAATTCGAAATTTTGTGAACAGACTTGAAGAAGAATTTTATATTTTGATAAAAACACTTCTAATTAACAAAGTAATTATAATTTGAAAAGAAATAAAAAGCAAAAAGTATCAATTAGGTCAAGTAAAAAGTTCATTCGGAAATGGCGTTATTGTCCATAGTACTAGTGTTACGTGTTGCACGACGCTGAAAGCGCATTAATTCGCTCTAAAAGTTTGTCTTTGACAGTTTTTCCATTGATTGACTCAGTCCGTTGTGAGCGCTCGTCAAGGATGGACACTAGCAAAGAGAAAATTCGCTATTTTTTACGATTTTTCTTCGAGGCCCTGATACTATAAACGAACGTGTAGCAAAAAAGTGGTTTGCTAGGTTCCGTTCCGGTAATTTCGATGTCAAAGATGCACCACGCGTCGGGAGGCCTGTTGTCGAAAAAAAACTGTTTGGAACCATCTGCACAACCTTGGATACAAAAAGAAACTCGATGATTGGGTGCCACACGAACTAACGCAAAAAAAAACATGATGAACCGAATTTCCATCTGCGAATCGCTGCTGAATCGCAACAAAATCAACCTGTTTCTGAAACGGATTGTGACTGGCGATGAAAAATGGGTCACTTACGACAACATCGAGCGCAAACGGTCGTGGTTATGCTGTGTGTTTGGTGGGATTGGCAAGGATTAATCTACTACGAGCTGCTCTCCTACTGCCAACAAATGGACCGCTTGAAGGCAGCACTCATCCAGAGATGTCACCTTTGATCAACAGAGGCCGAATTGTGTTCCATCAGGACAACGCCAGGCCGCACACGTCTTTGGTGACGCGCCAGAAACTCCAGGAGCACAGATGAAAGGTCCTAATGCACTCTCCATATAGTCCGGTCCGGGTATCAAGTGATTACCATCTTTTCCTGTCCATGTCGAACGCGCTTAATGGTGAGAAGTTGGCTTCAGGAGAGGCCTGTGAAATAGGAGGATTTCACTATCGAACATGTCAGCACAGCGCAGCGTACGTCGCATGAGGTTTGTAAACTTCAGAGTAAGCTACAGGTCTCCTTCTTCTTTACTGAAGTAAGCACCGCTCACGCGAAAATAGCCGTGTTAACAAAAGCGCGCGCGCCATTCATTCCCTCTTTAGGGTATTTGAAACCAATCGAAAATAGCAAGTGTAGTCAGGTTCTTCTCCACCAAATCTTTTGAACGGAGTGAAGGTCTTCCCCTTCCTCTACTTCCACTGAATTTTATTGCATCGATATCTTTCAAAGCTGAAGTATTCTCACCCAGTTGGGCCATATGAATTAACCAGCGTAGACAATGTCTTTTGATTCGCAGAACTATGGCATTGCCGCCGTCCAGCTCATCGTTCCATTAGCTGGCAGAGGACCATTAAAATTACGCATAACTCATCAACTCATTTGCCCGACACGATGAGGGTCTTGTAGAGTTTGGGTATCGTTCGCCAAGAGAGGTCTTTCCTTGTCCTTTGGCTAATCAGTACAAAGTAGTAACTGTTGACCAGTGCTGTGCTGGTGTTGTGCTGGATTTTCAGTCTGACATTGTTGCTGGTGTTATTACTTGTTCCAGGACAGACGAAGTTATCTACGACTTCAAAGTTATAACTGTTAACTCTTACGTAGGTGCCGAGTAGCGAATGCGATATCTATTTTTTTAGACAAGAGATATTAAGTCTTCCTTGCTGCCGAAGGCTGATTTAAAATCGACGGGCTTGATGAATATCTGGTCAATGGTGAATTTATCAGGTTTAAAGCAACACTGGTAAAGTCCAATTAGTTTGTTGACAATGGGCTGGTGGGTGGATGACACAATACGTTCAATGGCTTTATATGCGATATTGGGGAAGCTTATCTCACAGTAATTGGCGCACACTGATGGTATGGATTGCGTAGAGAGTCAATCGTCGGGCATGTTTCCATCCGACCATATTCCAAGCCATTAGTCAACTGTCCAATTAGATGGTGATGCTCTGCTACTACGACTAAAATGGTGCTCCGCTGTCGCTTTCGTGCTTATCGCCTCTTCTGTTCAAATTATGCTGCCCTGGTCTGAAAGCCTGAACCTAAAACCATCTGCGACAACGAAAAAGACTTATTTACCAAATGTTCCACCTAGCCTTGACTTCCACGCCATCTCGATGGCAATTTTATCTGAAATGAATGAGGTAAACTACTTTATCAAACTTCTTAACTACTACTGTTTCACCAATTGATGAAAACCGATATGCTGCTCCTACTACTAATGGAGCTATTGGTACAATACTTTAGGTTGTTGTTGTTGTAGTAAAGATTTACCAACCTCTCTTAAGAACAGTCGAGATCAGTCTCAGTCATCGAGGCCATCTAACGTGAGGACTAACATACCCAACGTATGCCCATCATGTGGATAGTCTCCGCACAACACTAACCACCTCTTCACATTGCCCCTTAAGCCGACACATTTCCTGGACCTACCGTTAGATGACCGCGGTGACTGTTGGTTTTAACGTAGCCGCTACAACAACAACAGGAGGTCCACGAGCTGTTGCGACGGGTTCGGACCAGAGGGAAAGGGGGGTTAGATGAGTTGGGTTTAGGAGGCAAGCAAAGAGGTGGTGGTACAGGGGTTAATTGCAGGCAACACTAATTTATGTGGTGAACTCTAGCTCTTTCCGATGGCACGTCTTTTGCGGTAGATATTTTGGGGTACATATAGGGTGAATTCAAAAACGTCAAAATACTTTGTTATGGTGCCGGTGCGCAACCGTATCGTTACAATTCAACCCTGTATTCTATTGTACAAAATTACAAAGCAACAATATTTTGCAAACTCTGACATTTATTATAAAACTAATCAAAAAAATAAGTTATGTAATGTTAAAAAAAAGAATTAGCGCAAAGAATTTACTCTGCGACGTCGACCATTGCTGTTAAATATTTATAATAAAATAAAGCATCACAAACAGCTTTGTTTTGCGCATCAATAACTTTACCGATCATTCTGGAAATTACATCATCATAACATTACCGGAGTTACCTTACGACTCAGTTAAGCACTGGGTTAAACACGTATCCAATGTCCATCTCGAATGTAATGAGTATTCACCTGGAATACAATGCATTTGGAGTACGGAAACACGGATAGCTCGCCTTCTTTATTCATGCTTGGTTTATTCGCATCTATGTGTATTAATGTGTTTATTTTGTTTGCTCGAAAATAAAATCAAATTGTGTTTCTCACAAAACCTGACTAATAAGTAAACAACTCAGAAGGTTTTATGGGCATACGTGACAACAGCGAGAATGGTATACAAAATATATAAATGAAAACTATGATGTAATTGAGTTATGGTGAACACACGATTTCTTTTTAATTTTTGGAACTCATAGTACATTAGACATTTAGAGTTAAATAAAACGTACTTTTTTGTTAAATTATATTCAACACAGTAAATTTTTAATAATATAAATGTATATACACACATATAAATATGTAGAAATACGCATTTCAAAAATTAAAAAAGAAATTTACAAATAAAACTTGTATATTTTAAATATGTAATAAGTTTTGTCTTTCCTATGAAAACTTTGAAAACTCATAACATCTTCACTTACAAAAACGTTAGTATTTCTTTAGTGTATATATTTGATTTCATAAATATTTACGCATACAATTAAATCGAATACTTAATATTTTAAGTTAGCCTTTACTGTTAAATATCAACTGAAGTTACAGTGAAAGTACACTTGGTGTGCAAAATATTTGTCTATAAAAAATTTTGTATCAGACGTGTGAAATGCTTATATCAGCTTTTGCAAATTAGAAGTAAACTTGCATTTTTGCCGTACGTTGCTATCATTTCGTATAATTTCCGCCTTAAACATTTTGTTTACGTGAATTTTGTTTAAATTAAATGTATTTGAAATACATAAGTGAACTGGATTTTTTGCAGCTGGCTTTCTATAAACCATTAAAACGTTTCGCACAGATTTGCTGCTGTTGGTTTTCATATATGTATGTATGTGTATGAGATCAACGCACTTCAGGCGTTTATGATCGTAACGATGCTAAACGATTTTGCATTTCCTGCAAATCCTCCTCTTCTTCACCGGCCTCATCCTCGGATAAAGTAACTGCAGCAGCGGGAACTTCTTGTTTTTCCGCAGCAATGCCTTCGGGCGGTAACGGCGCTTCACCAAGTTTGCCATCCGTAATTTCCCACAACACCTTATCTACTTCTTTAGCGGCCTCCTCCTCCATCTCTTCAGACTCTTCTAACGAATCCATAGTTTCGTCAAGCATCTCTTCGATTATGCCCGCCTTCATCATTTCCTTTGACATGTCACGCATAATGCCAGCCAACTCTGGATATCGCACTAGGTTTTGCATAGCTTGCATTACTTCAGTAGACTTTTGCAATGAACCAGCCACACGTAATGTAGCTAAAAGTAAGATATTCGATATATTTCGTTTATCTTAATGTAAATATAGGAAATCATTTACCTAATTGATTTTTCATTTGCAGTTGTATGGAATTGAGGTGTGCTTTTGATGTGTAAATACGATTTATCGCTTTTCGCGCACGTACTATCTCTTTCGCAAGGATGACGCAAGTGTCACGATCATTTTTAGTTGCTGCCTGTTTTAAAGAACGCTTTACTTTTTCCTCCTCGCGTTGAATGCTGCGTATTTGGCGATCCAGTTGGTTACTCTCCTTACGGATTTTATGTGTCCATTCTTGAACCTAAAATAATGAAAATGTTTATTTTGTATTGTGTTTATTTTTCTATTTTTTTTTTTTTCAATGTAAAATAAGTTGATGAGGTAGTATACACAACTGGTTTGCCTTGGCCATGATCTGAGCCAATTCGCAAGTAGGCTAAAACTTTTGCCAACGTCGAAGTACCGTTATGTACCATACCTGTTCTTTGGGATCTTTGGTATGAGTTTTGCCGAAAAGTCCCATGTTTGTTTTTATTTATACTTGATGTTTTGAACTGTTTATTGTTGTTTTTCACAATTAATTTTTAACAAATCTTACAAATGACTCATTTATTGGAGCTCTTCTGACGCTTACAAAATTCATTGGTTTTGTTTGTGTCACATATGTCAATTGATTTGTTTTGACTTCACTATGCGCAACTGCGCAGTAACTGCACATAGGGTTGCACCAAATATTGCTGGGATAACATAAGCAACCCATTTAAAAAAAACGTAACCGGCTTCGAACTTCCAAGAAATGTTTTGAATAAGAATAGGCAAACTCATAAGGTTTTTGTATAAATGAGGCAGGGCCGGTTCAAAAAATAGTAAATTCCTAAATTTGCTATTTTCAGCTATCTGTCTTCATGAATTTTTACGTTTTTGTAACATTTTTCATGAAACCTCGATTATTTTCCAATCGTTCGAGCTCATTCACTACATTGTCAAATACAAATAAGTCATAACATTTCTGGTACTGCTTTTTTACGGTAAATGCTGTCGAAGATGACTAGATACGAAACTTTCATTATAACTTAATATAATTTAATATTTGATTGTGTCTCAATGAAATCTTGATAGAAATTTTAATTAAAAACTTTGTTGTTTGTAATAAAATACCCGAAATATACCTAAAAATCTAAAAAGTCATTTTTCTATCTCAGTGGCACTGTCCAGAAATGTTATAAAATATGCAGATTTTTTGAGCACTCTCACGAAGTAAATAGTTCGTAACTAGTCGTCTTTGACGGAGTCTACAAACTCTGTGCTAAGCACAGTGTACTAAATGTGCATCTCTTCTCTTAACCCTCTGCGGGTTAGGGGTTCAAGAATTTACCCGCGGTAGAGCATACCTGTCCTTAAAAGCGACTAAAATCCAATAGTTCTCGCGTTTTCACTACCGAGCTTTATACTTAGCTGGATGTTCTCCAGTGTAGTCCGACGCTCTAATATGTCTATACATTTCTCACATGCACCTGTAATACTTATGTAAAATTTGACTGTTCTCGATAACGAGCATTCTAAATATACAATCGTCCTAAAAATATTGGTTTCTCTTTCATCTGATTACTTTCATTATCCAAACTTTATCTCTCAAAAATGCATGCTTCTCCCTTGTATTCTAGAAAGACTGCGAATTCAAATTCAATTTTTTCTTAATATCTTGCGTTCAATGAGCTGCTGCGTCTCTCGGAAACACCAATATTCGCTCTACCTACATGAATTCGCCTTGTTTGAAATTATTTTGCGATACATGGCAACAAGGTTTTCCATTCTCTTAATTCCTCTTTTTATTGTTTTCATGGTCTAATTTCAATCTGTTTATTTGATAAGAATTGTATTTTCCTGAAAGAAATTTGAGAATTAGCTTAAATAGCTTGGTAAAATGTTAAAGCAACATGTACTTGTGGAATTGAAACAATTCGTTCAATCGGTTACAAATCATCATGGTAATCCAAAGAAACTTACAAATAGCTCGCTCCTCCGCAGCAGTTTTCACCTACTTGAAGATCTGCCGGCTGCACGCGAGATAATTTTTGAGTATTTCGCACTGATTGCTGAAGTAGCCGTTCAGAACTATGTGGCAAATGTGAATGTTGATTTTTCTACTGGTCTACCCTTAAGACAAGGTAAACAAGGCGCCGGTCCAAGTTCAAGTAGCAATGTGCCCACACAGCCGACCGTAATAGAAGATAGTAATTGGACAGCCGTGCAAGAGGCATTAGAGAATTTGGTCGTCAAAGGACCATCTGCTTGGGGACCCATAATCGCCTCATGGAGTCTAGACTTGGTAGGAAAGTTATCAGATAAATATACCAAACGAAAGATGTCTATTGTAGCAGCATGCAATTACTGGCTGAACTGCGGCGCTATGCGAGGTTTGCTTACATTGATCAGCTTAAGTTTCCGAAAGCTTACGAACGCTGAAAAAGAGGCTTGTGTTGAAACATTATTGGGTTTGTAGAATTTTTGTGCTTATGCATATTCCCTTATTTATTTTACATTTCTTGCAGGTGCTTTTCAGCGATATGCACTCAGTTTTGACTGGGTTGTAGCTCGTTTGGGGGGCTGCTTTCCATTGAGCATTATATCTCAAATATTACAATGCAGCCTTAAACGTTTTGCTGATGATTACCGCTGCCGTTTCGACTCTGAGTTGGGTATTTTAGACTACTTGTCTTTTGCACATGAGCAGGAGCTTAAGCAGGCATTGACGGATTTGCTAAAAGATGGATTTAATCCAAAGAAAACTTTAGATGCATGTATAATACCGTTCTTACTGGTAATGGCTACATTTGCGGATGCATTGCTACAAAACTTGGTAGTTGTTTTTCTCGAAATGTGTGAGTATATAAAATTAGTAAACATTTGTATTTTGGCTGTTTTATAAAGAATATTTTATTCCATTTACAGATAATGACGATTTACGACAAACTATTATACAGAAAACTCCTCTGTGGATGAGTAACAAAATATTCGCTGAAATGCAACCATCTCTTAATAGTTTAGCTTTGCGTTTAAAGTCGAATGGTGCGCAGCTGTTGATCGCTGTATCACAAATGGCCGACCAATATAACTGGTGTCAAGACTTTTTGGAATACACCTTACAGGATTTGGAACAAGTGGTGCTAAATGCCACTGTGTGTCCGCTAATGAATGATTTAGCTACCGAAGATTCAAAATATTTACTTTGGAAGAACTGTTTAAGCGCCAATATCTACCAACAGCAAACTGCAGTGCGGCTGCTATTAATTGTTTGTATGTGAATTCATATATGTTTTATGTTGAAGTGGGCTATTAATTAATTATTTCACTTTCAGCCACGCAGCATTCACACATTTATCATCAGACAATATCAGAGCTGTTAAGAAAATCCTATACAGCTAATCCCAACGGCTTTGGCGCTGTGATACGTATAATTGGTGGGCAAAGTGGTGTTGTTGAATTTCCGTGCATTAAGCCTGGTTTACAAATGGTTTTAGAAGATGTGCTGCTGCAAGAGCAATTCAAACATACTCGCCTGATAAATGGTGATCAATCAGATGCGCTCAACACCTTCAAAAATCTAAATATGCTAACCAAGTAAGTAGTTTTTGATTATCGTAATGCTACAAGTAAACTATTTTTTATTTTGTTGCTTAGAATGCAAAAAAAGAATTCCTTTCAATATATGAAGCAAAGTCTCCTAACTAATGTACTGAATGATTGTCTGCCTAAAATTTTGCAAATACTCGAAGTGACACTGACCAAAGTTGTACTTCGTATGAATAAATTAGCAGAAGAGAATGGTGAGGAAGTTTTCAAAGCTACGCAAAATAACAATAATAATAATGAGGCAAATGGTGAGAGGAAAAAGCTTAAATTCGGTGAGACTGATGCCGAAACTGAAGCTAAAGCAATGGATGTGGATGCTCAAGAAGATGAAAAGCTTATTATAGGCGTACCTCTAACTGATTCCGATGAAAGCGAGGAAGAGGAAAAAGATGCCAAAAGACGAATTCTAGCACACACTATTATAGATCTGCTCAATACCATTGAGGCTGGCTTGAAAGGCAGCGTTATGCGCACAACAGAGGTGCTTTTATGCCTTTTTTCAATTTTTTTAACACTTTTTGAATCGAACTTATTCGCTTTTCTTTCAGGTATTGAAGCTATCAATTTTAAGTATAAAGTATTTCTTTTTGGCGTTAACAGAAAAAAGTAAGTTTGTTATTATTATAGAAAATATAATACCCAATTTATATTTTTCGAAAGGTCCAATCACCCGTTCGGCGGCTGTTAATCGCGCCTATTTATTGCTCGCGCGTCAATGTTCCGCACGAAAAGCCGCACGCACAGCTTGCATACGTGAGTTGGTGGAGGGTGCACTCTTCTACTATGGTTACCTATTCGGACAATACGAGGAGCCAGAGGTGGATCAACTCGAGATACCAGAACACGAAATGGTTTTGCTACAAAATCAACGACATACCTTAGGGCCAAATGCCAATCGCACGGTTTTACATGCAGGCGTTATAGGACGTGGTTTGCGTCCTGGTTTGGCGTCAAATGCACAAAAAGAGTACCCAGCTGAAATGCAAACGCTGTTACTCAAAGCATTGGATGCTTGTTGTACTGTGGCCGATAAGCAAAACTCCGTTGAGGGATACTCAATGATATCGCTCTTACTCGTCGAGATGGTCTCCACCGACGTTATGTACAATGGCCTGCCATTTCCGGATGAAGAGTTCACCAAAGTGACAATGGAACGTGATTTAATGATACGTCGCGCCTTCAGCACATCGCCAGTGCTTTGGGCATTGCTCGGCTTTATAGCTGCACATCGACCGGCGCTATGCTTTTCATCGGTACTTTTGCGTGCTATGTGTGCCACTTGTTTGCATCAATGGCGTGCTAAAAATGGTAGATGAAAGCAAATATAAATTACTCCCACTTTTTAATGAAATAATTCGTTTGTTTGCAGTAAACAAATTTCAACCTTTTGATCCCAACGACGAGCTAATGGTGTGTACGCAGAAGTTGTTGCAATTATTGGCGATGGGACAGTTGTTGCCGCCACCTTTGTCAAATCTTCACGTGATCATCAAACATTTTGAGCCACCAGAAGTACATATAAATATTGTTTGCCATGTACACTATTAATTGTAAAGATTAACTTTTTGTTATAGATTGCCTTATTGCTGAAGGAATGCATTTGGAATTATCTAAAAGATCATGTACCCTCGCCGGCGTTATTTCATCTCGATAGCAATGAGCTGCATTGGCGTAATCCAAATATGTCTAAAATTCCACCACAATATGTAGACACGTTACGTAATTTAATGCAAAAGAAACTAACCAAATTGGGTCAGCATTATTATCAAATGTTCATCATGCCCGAGTTGAATGATCCGAATCCCGTGCAAGTGTGTTTAGTAGATTCAGTAGCAAATAAACGCGACCTATGAATTGCTATTATTAGGAATGTAAGATTTTTTTAAATGTATCAAGAAGTGAAGTAACAAAAACTTTGATTTTCATTTACAACAAACTGTTTATATTTTTTTCAAGTGTTAAAAATATGGAAAATATTTTTTGTTTTATTCTGTATAGATATATTTTTGGTTTAATTAAACCAACCACATAATTCATAACAAATAAGATTTCATTTTTTTTAATTAAAAAAAAAAGGTAAAAACGAAACGTTTTGTATTGTCGGTAGGAGTTATATGCATTTTTCTCATTTCATTTCCTTCATGCCATGTATGATTGTTTGCTCGTATGCATATTCTACTTCTTCAATGTTCTCAAAAAATGGATTTTGGCTTGTTTAATTCTCAAGTGTTCAAAATACGTGTTTTTTTACAATGTATGTACATATGTGGTTGTATTTGTGTTTTGATTGCACATGTTCTTGGCGTACAAATACGAAATAGTTTAAAATAATACATTATAATAGACGAAATTATCAAGAATGTCGTACTTGAATTAATGTTACTTAGCTAAATCGCTATATACACAATAAAAGTGTGCCTTCAAATAAATCCATTGTAGATTGCTTAATCGAATATTACACAGAATCGGTAACATTTATATGATATAAAATAGTTTTCGATTGTATTAATTTTAAATTTTGCACATTAACTCCTTTCACTGCCATACATGTGAAAGCATATGGAGAGTAGTTACCTAACTATTTACTATGTATTTATAAAAGAAAAGGAGGGATACATAGGATAATAAATAAAAGAAAGTATATACTACCTAGGAATTACACAACAAAAAAATCGGACGCGAATAATACAGTTCAACCGAAAACGTTAATTTCATTTTCTTTTTTGATTGTTTAATAAATACTAGCAAAACAAGGCAAAGGAAAAAAAAAAACAATATAAAATATTACTCCATATATATGTACATATGTGTGTAAGTTAAGGTCAGTGGTGTCCTAAAAATAATTAAGAATAATTAAGTTGCGAGTGTTGCTTGCATTTGGCAGCGAGAGATACTTTCATTTATATATTCTCTGCAGCAGTGCAAGCTGCACATACATATGCGTAGGGCTAACTGACTTGACATTCAACGACTAATGAAATGTTTAGAGTTGAAAATTTTTAAGTTTTTTTTTTCATATCAATTAAACTATGATTTTCCAATGACTACATATACTGCTGCGCCTGTGCGCGCGCCCTTATATACTCTTTAATCGCTGGCACTGTGCTGCTTATTACGATGGCCGACAGTTTGAGAGCTTTCTTACAGATATACAAGACGTTAGCTTTTTGGCACGTCTTTTCAACGAGGAAGATTTTTTCTCCTTGCTTATGCTGTTCGAAGTCGACGCGCCTGCACTTGTCGATGGCCCTGCTGAGTTGGGTGCCGCTAATTGTTGTTGTTGCTGTTGTTGTTGTGCTTTAATTTCAGCAGCGGCAGCGGCTGCTTGACGTGCGAGCTCACCTAGATAAACAAAAAACATATATAAAATAAAAATAAATACTCTGGCTTTACTTTAAATTTATTTTTCAAGTCGCGTACTCACGATTGAGATCGTGTTCGGTGAAGTAAACTTCCTCCAAATCACGCTCGGTTTCATAGTGGTAAGCATCTAGATAAGGCAGTACCGTCGAACGGCGGTAGACATCACGTTTGAGTGGTGGTATTGGCACTGGTGGACCCTTTTCTTCGGGTGCTGATATGAACCAACTGTTTGTGTGGAAAACAACAAATTATTAACATGTATTTTGTTTGTATGCCGACACTACGTGGCCACTTACGGATCACTGCGTATTTGTTGTATAGAATATCGCTTAGCCTGATCAGCTTGTAACATGCCCAATATGAGACCCGCTAGCTGTGCGTCCAACTTGTACAACCAATCTGGTGCTTCCCATTGACCACGTCCAATGTTCTCAAATAGCCTGTAAATGTTATCACCTTCGAATGGATATTGTCCCGAACATATGTTGTAGCTATATGAAAATGCAGGCATAGAAAATGTAAATTGTTTTTAATTCTTCCTATAATATACTCACAGCGTCACACCACAGCTCCATATATCAACTTTAGTGCCGGAGAATGATTCGTGTCCGTTGGCAATTTCTGGCGGTTGAAATGCAGGTGAGCCCTGCCCGGTGGTGCATGTATCGTCTTTAGCAAAAAGATCTAACTGTTCGGCGACACCGAAATCCGAAATTTTCAATGTTTGCTCAAGTGAAAGCAATAGATTTCCAGGCTTAATATCTTTGTGTATGATGCGGCAGCCGTGTAAATATTCTAAGCCGCTTATTAATTGGCAAAAATAGCGATGCGCCTGAAAGAGAGGCAGTTTCTTTTCGGGTGCGCTATCCACTAATTCCTAAAAAGAAAAATATTTTATTAAAAAAAAAAATAATTTTTATATTATTTTGTACTATTTACAAACATATGTGCTTACCTGCAATCCCCCCACACAGTATTCCATAATCATGTACATTTTCTGCTTTTCGTCGTTGTACAAAACATCCAAAAGTGCAACTACATTTTTGTGCTGTAAGTTTCTTAATAATTGAATTTCCCGCTGCACATTCTGTTCTCCATTGGGAATGCGTCTCAGTTTTCGCTTAGTCAATATCTTTACTGCCCGCCGACAGAGATTTTCTGAATCAAGCACTTCTTTCACTTTGCCATAGGAACCCTCGCCCAACACATCACCCATAACATACTTTCCTACCATTTTAATTTCTTTCTTTTTCTTTTGATAAATTATTTCTGCACTATCAACGCGGTTAAAGAACATATTTCCAATGTCCAACGTGGTTACGTCAAGTGCATCAATTTGTTCATTATCTAGCCATGTAACTTGTGGATGAGCCTGTTCATTAATTAGTTGCTTTTCCTCATTGCCTGCCACAAAATCGGCTCCTCCACCACCACCTTTGCCATCAACATCAGCTTCATAGGGCTCCTCTACATTGGAGAGTGCGTCATAGTGGAAATTCTTATTTGCCAGTAGAACTGACACCTCGCCATCTGCGGTCTCCACATCCATTTTTAAATTACTAGCCTCGTTATTGGTGTGTAGTCCCTGTTTGTCGGCCAACAGTTTAGTGCCTAAAGGTGGCATTAAAATGCTTTTATAGGCAGTCACTGAATGAATGGTTGCTGCCACTAAGGATTGTTCTACGCTACTTTTTTTGTTGCTATCAATATAATTATTATTATTGTTGTTTTTTATGTTATCATCAATTACGTGCTGCTTTTTGATTTGTATTTCCATTTCATGTGTACGAGGCACGGTTATTGGTCAGCACGATGTTGCAATACCGCTAAGGACAATGTGCACAGTTTTTCGTTGTATGTTTATGAAATTTAATATCAGGACTAGAAATGCACTCACAGTCGTGTGAAGGATGCTAATTTATTATTTATTTGTTTTAATATTTCACTTCACGATTATGCGCTCCACGTACGCATGTAGAGCGCTGCATCCAGTTTACATTTTTACCAAATTCCAACGTTACTGGGCCACCGGTTTTTTTTTCAGTGTATGTATTTCTTTTTTTACGATTCCACTTTAATCAGATGATTAATATGAAGACACTCTTGGCGTGAAGATTGCACTATCCGTTGATTTTTCTCAAGTTTCGGTAATTTTCTCAGACATTTAGCAATCATGCAAAAATCTTATCAGAAGAGGGGTGCCGTCTATACACAACGCCGTCGCCTTGAAATCAATTCCTTTGCTTTGCGTTGCCTTTTGGGTTTTGATATAGAACTCTACACTTATTATTCGCTGTAAATGTTTACTATTTATTTATATCTTCGATTTTTTCATCCAATTTTTAATTGAATAATTTTTTAATCACTAAAATTTTCTGCTGTGCCTGCTGATCGTAACGCACTTCATTTTTTTCCATCAACATATCGTTGGCGTTGCCAACTTCGTGAATGAATGGAAGCAAAGCAAACAGAGGAAAGCGGTAAGAAAAAATAAACGGATTAGAGGTGCTTAGGAAATTCGGTAATCAAATTGATCTAAAAAAATTCTAAATGCTTGCTACGCAAGATAAATTAATATAGGCAGCTTCTTTTTGTGCTGTCGAAAGCAACTTTGAAATCGCAAAAGAGGTGACGTTTGTCGATTCATTTCCCATAGGTCTTTTCCAAGATTTGGTAGCCCTTTCTAGGTGAAATTATAGCATATTTCCATCCGACCATATATTGCAAAGAAGTATTTTTTAATAGCTAAGCCGTTGAGGGGAGCGCAATGGGGTGTTGTCAATCTTCTGTGTATGCTGTTACAGTTGCGAGGCTATACTTAATTCTTACTCTTGCGTCTACGTCGCGCACCCTGGAAACGTGAGCAACCCTTGTGCAAGATGTGGTAACCAACCCGTGTGGAGCCTTAGGTCACAGCTAATGAGAGGAAGCTTTAGTGGAGCCACTCTGCAGCGTCTGTTCACCAGAGGTGCGGCTGCGAGCGGGCGTCGGGCTTGAAGCAAGCAGCTCGCTATATAAATGTGTGAAAAAAAATTAAACTTACTCGCCTAGCGAGTGCGCTGGCTTTGGAACCCGCCACGTAGAAACCAGCTTCAATGAAAAATTTGGCAACGCCTCGGATGAGATACCCCCTTTCTGTTGATGACCTTCGCAAACGAATTAGGGATCATGATTTGAGGGCATGCACCTGGAATGTCCGGTCACTTAATTGGGAAGGTGCCGCTGCCCAGCCAGGACACCAACCACTCGTAAGAATAAAGACTGACATCACCGCCGTCCAAGAAGTGGGATGAACGGGACAAGGACAAAAGCGAGTTGGTTCTTGTGACATTTCTTACAGCGGCCATATAAAGAAGCGCAAATTTGGTATTGGATTTGTGGTTGTAGAGAGACTCCGTCGTCGAGTACTGTCATTCACTCCGGTGGATGAGCGTCTCGCCACAATCCGCTTCAAAGCGAAATTTTTCAACGTATCCTTGATTTGAGCCCTCGCCCCGACGGGAGAGAAAAACGATTTGACCAAAGACGCCTTTTATGAGCGCCTAGATCATACTTACGAGCACTGGTCCCAACACGATGTAAAAATCGTTCTTGGCGTTTTTAAAACCAGGATGGGCAAAGAAGGTATCTTTTTAACAACTGTTGGGCAATTCAGCCTTACAAAGAAACATCCCCTAATGGGTTAAGGCTGATCGACTTCGCCTGGGCCCGAAATATGGTTGTCTGTAGTACTAGATTCCTGCACAAAAAATACATTAAGCTACTTGACTCTTCCCCGATCGAAAAACACAAAACCAGATCGATCAAGTTTTGATAGACGGAAGACATGTCTCCAGTGTTCTTAACGTGCGTACACTCTGATGACCCAACATCGACTCGGACCATTATCTTTTTGCAGCGAAGATACGCATCAACAAACACAAGGAAAGTTCGACGTTGAAAAGCTGCAATTACAACAGACTGCCGACCGATTTTCTACTCGACTTGCACTACTGCTTTCTAGAACACTCATCAGCAGCTCGGTATACGGAATCTGTGGGACGGCATTTCAAGCTCCCTACGTACAGCTACAAACGAAACTATTGGATTTCGTAAAGGGGGCGAAAACAGCTGGTACGATGAGTACTACCGGATCGCAGAGGAGAGAAAACGGGATGGGATAGAAACCGAGAGATGAAGAGGCAAGAAAGACGTATATACAGCTAAAAAAAGAAAGAGGTCGAGATGAGTAAGTATGAAGAGCTTAAGAAGCTGGCTGACAAGGGTAACGAACAGATATGATGACTTACGGAAGGTTTTAAGACCGGAGCACTTCCCAATTTGACGTTGGAAAAGACGTTCCATTACCTGACTATGAAGAAGTTCGAATAGCAATCGTCCGCTTAAAAAACAACAAAGCGGCGGGAGCTGACGGCCTACCGGCAGAACTATTTAAAAATGGCGGTGAAGAGCTGACAAGGTGAATGCATCAGCCACTCTGCAGAATATGGTCGGACGAAAGCATGCCCGACGATTGGAATTCGGGATACGCCTCTTTATTATCGCCTATAAGGTCCTGTCGTAGTGTATTGTGTGAAAGACTGAAGCCCACCGTCAACAAACTGATTGGACCTTATCAGTATGGCTTCAGACCTGGTAAGTCAATCATTGACCAGATATTCACCATGCGCCTAATCTTGGAAAAGTCCCGCGAAAAGAGGATCGACACACACCACCTCTTCGTCGATTTTAAATCCTAGAGTCACTGTTGGCAGTTACAATTTTGAAGTCGTATAAAGGAACCAGCATAAACACCAACAATAATGTCAGCCTTGAAATCCAACGCAGGATTACTCTTTGGACTGAGTAGGCAATTGAAAAGTAAAGCCCTCTCTAGGCGAACGAAAACCAAACTCTACAAGTCCCTCATCATTCTCATCCTGCTATATGGTGCGGAAGCAAGGTCGATGACAACATCTGATGAGTCGGCGTCGGGAGTTTTTGAGAGAAAGGTTTTATGGTCCTTTACGCATTGGTAACGGCGAATATCGCAGACGATGGAACGATGAGCTGTACGAGTTATACGGCGATATTGATATATTTCGGCGGACCAAGAAGCAGCGGCTACGCTGGCTAAGTCATGTGGTCCGGTTGGATGCGAATACTCCAGCTTTGAAAGTTTTCGATGCACTACCCGCCGGTGGAAGCAGAGGAAGAGGAAGACCTCCACTCCGTTGGAAAGACCAGGTAGAGAAGGACCTGGCTGCAATTGGTCTTTCGAATTGGCGCCAAACAGCAAAAAGAAGAGGCCAATGGTGCAATGTCGTTAAATCGGCTAAAATCGCGTAAGCGGTGTCTACGCCAGTAAAGTAAGTAAGTGAGGAATATTTTGCGGTTACAACAACAGCAACACCAACAACACTGTTCTCAGAAAATTGTAATTTTATAAGGATATTTCGAGCTTCCTATTCCTTTCTGTGTACATCATAGTAAGTTAATGAAAATGAAATGAAAAACGTTTTGAATGAATAAAAGATATTTCGTATAAATTTTTATTTTCGTTTGTTCCATAATATTTACAGTACAGAATGGAATTTTGTTTAAGACTAGTTTTACAAAATAAGCTAAGTAAATATATATAAAAAAATGTAATTTCGTATTAGGTATGTAGTTACAATTAAAACTATATACTCGTATTTACATAAACGACATATGAAACAATTTTGTTTTGATTTTATTTGCGACTAAATATATCGATTCAAGGTAAGAATTAAAAAAATTTAAAAACGTAATAAAAAAAGACGCATACATAAAACAAAATTTAATTATTAAGAGTAATAATTCATTGCGAAGTATGCTATCGTTCTTTTTTTTTTTGTTATTTGTGAGCAGCAGTTCCACATGCGTTTGGAGTAAATGTTTATTGTTCGATATATTTACTTATGCAATATACATACATTCACGTATATATGTATATATCATTGATTCATATTTATTTAAATTAATTTCTAATATTTAAATATTTTTTTTATTAAATTGGTAGTTCACATACAAACATAATTACTACAAATTAAATAATATTACATTTAAGGTTGTAGATTTATGTTTATAACATCATGTATACATAAATTTAACTATTTTATATTTTATAAAAATGGCTAAGACTAAGGCAGATCGCAAAAATTGACCCATTTTGTATTATACACAAATTCTAGTGTGTAAAATTTCCGCATTTCTTTGTTTTTTTTTTTTTTTTGGCGAAAACATACTGTGTATAAGTGTGTTTGTGAGTTCGTTTGTGTTAAAAAATTATACATTTCTGTTTTTGGCTCATATTTTAGTATTTATATTTACAAATGTTTATTGAAATTTTTTTTTAATAAATGTATTGAACTATACGAGGGCTACTTTTTATATTTCGATATTTGGCCACCGTAGTGTTGCAATCTGACAAGTGACAACTTTAACGTAAAGTTTAAAATTTTTGCTTTTAGACATATTCAGAACTTTTTGACATATAATCAATATTTATAATACGAACGATAACGAATTTTTGGAGATACCTCCAAAAGAGTGGCCAAAGTGCTTCGGCGATTGCTTCCAACGCAAGCAAAAGTGTGTAGATCTTAATGAAGACTATTTTGAAGAGATTTTCGATGATTAATATTGATTTTCGCTTGTCAATTCCGAAATATAAAAGGCAACCCTCGTAGCAGGTTTTTTTTATTGATAAATTTCTTTAAATGTTCTTTTTTTGCTCTTTTACGCTACTCTTATGTGTTCTAGGGAATTTGCTTGTGTCTAATATTAAGTTATTAAAAATATTTGTGTTAAATGTTGTACAGTTAACGACATTTGAACGTAACGGCTTTACGTATTTTCGTTTTTCATCGAACAATATAAAAACAATCATAGAAAGTAAGCAAATAGGAAAATAGAATGTGAAAAAGTAGTGCAGCTCCTAAAGAAGGCATTAAAAAATTTTTCCTTTTTTCTACTGCTTTTTTTTTTTTTGAAATCTGTTATAAGCTTTGTATGTACTCTTGAAAATAATTTCAAAACTTTTAAATTTGTCTAATTTTTATTTTCATTATTGACGGGTAATACTTTTTAGTGCGTGCAAAAACTACTAAAAAAAATTGCCAGAGCTTTTTACGGACATTTGCAAGAACGCATCTATAATTTTTTGTTGTTTTGTAACGTAAGGCGTATACGCAAACATTTAAAGATTTATCATTGTTCTTTCAAATCTTGCCCGTAACTAAATAATTTCTTGCACACGTTATTGCAACACTGATCAGCTGATCAGCTGTTTGGTTACGCACATGACTAATTGCACTCAAAATTTCTCCGGCCTATTTGCGTGGTGAATATATGTATTGAAATGGCATTATTTTATACTTTAGAGTTAAAAAAAAGTTTACTTGCATTGGTTCAAACATTCCTACGCACTTGCATTTCCCATTTTACATAGAATATCCATTAAATAATTTTTCTTGTGTGTGTGTGTGTTACTTATGGCCAATAGGCAGTTGCATTAAACAGCAATTACGCACTAGATATACGACGTTTGTTTAGTATTTTTTTTTACATACATACATATATACATTTAAGCAACCTAATATTTGTTTCGATTGTTTGCTTGTGTGTGTGTTTTTTTTTGCTCAATTTGGCTTGCGATTAATGCAATTTTTCCTTCAACGCCAACAAACCGATGGCATCCATCGTATCCATTGTATTATTATTCATTTCCATAATTTTTTTCGTTGCTAACACACAACCATTTTGTAACGGCGTCGCACCGTTAGCCTTAGCTGCATTCACCGCCATTTTTTGACTTTGCGACTTCTTGTAGCTCGCCATGTAGAAATTCATGAAAAGGCAGAAGAAAATGGAGGCGTTCAGTAGCAAGAGGCAGGATATGAATTTCGAGAATTGACATTGAGAGCTGATGAGCGCGCGGGTGGTGTGTACAATGCAGAGCACAAATTGAGCCTGAAAGAGAAGAAAAAATGCAAATATAATTTGTTTGATAAAATGATATTTATGCATTAAATATAAATATGTATTAATAAACAAATAAAAATAAAAATAATATTAAAGACCAGGCAAAGATTGCATATTTTTTACTCGTCCTCCATGTGCTAAAATATTTTTTCATGAAGCCTCCCTGATTTTCGACAAAGCTCCTCCTCCAATTACATACTGGTCAAGTAAAAAGTTCGTTCGCTTTTTGTCTAAGATATGGCGTTATTGCCCATAGTACTAGTGTTACGTGTTGCAACATGTCATAATATATGGCGCTAAAAACGTGTTTCTTCGCGCTAAAAGTTGGTCCTTGCCAGTTTTTCGATTGATTGACTAAGTACGTTGTGGCGCTCATCAAAGATGGACACCAACAAAGAGAAAATTCGCGATTTTTTTAAATTTTTCTTCGACGAAGGCGAAAAGCAGCCAAAGCCGGTGAAAAAATTAACTTAGATTATGGGCCCCGATACTGTAAACGAACGTGGAGCAAAAAAATGGTTTGCAAGGTTCCATTCCGGTGATTTCGATGTCAAAGATGCACCACGCGTCAGGAGGCCTATCGTCGAAAATTGCGATACAATAATGGAAATGGTGGAAATAGACCGTCACTTGAGCACTTATTTAATTCCTGAGGAACTAAAGATAAGCCAGAAACCATTTGAATAACATTGGATTCAAAAAGAAACTCGATGTTTGGGTGCCACACGAACTAACATAAAAAAACATGATGGACTGAATATCCATTTGCGAATCGCTGCTGAATCGCAAGAAAGTCGACCCGTTTCTGAAGCGGATTGTGACTGGCGATGAAAAATGGGTCACTTACGACAACATCGAGCGCAAACGGTCGTGGTAAAAGCTCGGATTGACGGCCAAAAAGGTTTTGCTGTGTGTTTGGTGGGATTGGCAAGGAATCATCTACTACGAGCTGCTCCCCTATGGCTAAATTTGGCCAACAAATGGACCGCCTGAAGACAGCACTCATCCAGAAGAGGCCATCTTTGATCAACAGCGGCCGAATTGTGCTCCATCACGACAACGCCAGGCCACACACGTCTTTGATGCCGCGCCAGAAGTTCCAGAAGCTCGGATGGAGAGTCCTAATGTACCCAACTTATAGTCAGGGCATGGCACCATTGATTACCATCTTTTCCTGTCCATGGCGAACGCGCTTAATGGTGAGAAGTTGACCTCAAGAGAGGCCTGTAAAAATTGACTCTCCGAGTTTTTTGCCAATAGGGACGCAGCATTCTACGGGAGGGGTATAATGAAGTTGGCATCTCGTTGGCAACAAATTTACGAACAAAACAGCACATATATGACGTAAATCGGTCAAAGTGTGTACAAGTTATTATATTTTGAAAAATCAATAAAAAACCGAATGAACCTTTTATTTGACCTAATATATATATAATATATTAAACTCCCAGTAAGCTCTCCAACTCATTTATGATTATGTATAAGCCATTACGTCATACAAAGAGTTTTCATGCTTCGATTGAAATTTAATTGTTTTAAATGTGACGTTTAATTGCATGCAAAATATTTTTCAGTGGAAATTATTTAATTTTATCTGACTTTTAAATAATAACATCTCTATCAACAATACATATATGTATTTATTTGCAGAAAAAACATGAAAAATCGCAAGAATATTTTAAATAAATAAAATCTTAAAACAATTAAATAACTATTTAGTAAGCTCAGCATGGTCGAAGCGGGCTTGCGTGTCGCGTAAATGTTGTTTTAATTGTGTGAAATTAAATAACAAAATAAAAGTTAAGCGTCTTAAATTCTCAGTGCGTCTAAATTCCCAGGAAGTTAACGTTTAACAATGTTTAACACTGAGCATGCCTAAGCAATTGACTATTTGTGGGTATTCGAGCTGGAAAAACCTGAAAGTTTCCCAGTTATTTAATTATACTAAATATTAAGTCATATTACGTTTAGCAAATAAGTGACGGTTAAGAATCTCTGATGTAACTGAAAAAATATAATTTTATGTCATTATATAGGGTTATCTTATTTGTGATTTCAAAAGTACAGGGCTGTATTTTCGGCATCCGACAAACTTGTCAAATTAAACAATTTTTTATTTTTGGTAAAAGTCAGGAATTTATGGAAATAGTTGCTTAACAACCGCAGAATACGTTAGAATTGTTAGGCCAAGTACAAAAATGGTGATTCAAACGTAGCCACGTTTCGTGCTGTAAGATGAGATACGAGGCATAAAATCGCCCAAGTTGATAAAATTTTAAAGAAATTTGAAGAGACTGGATCGGTTTTAAATATTGTAAAGCCCATGTAAACTCGTTTTTTTCGTTCCTACTCAAATATCGCTAGTGCAAGTCAAAGTGTAGCCGAAGTCCATTTTTCGACAGTCTTACGGCACATTATGGCATATTTTTCACTTGGACTTACACCTACCTACATCCATATAAAGTCCAGTTAATACAACATTTGAAGCCAGCTGGCTGTTCACAATGGCGCACAAACCTTGATTGGGAGCTTTTAACTCTTAAGCACTTAAGAACCAGATGGTCTTTTGAATGATATAGCGTTGCACATATATATATTTTTTTGACTCAAAAAAGAATTTCATCAAAAATATTAATTTAATTTCTTCACGTTTATTTTCAAACCCGCAAAAAAGATAACCCTGGCTTTTTTTTTTTTTTTTTGAAAATAACTATTCTTAATATAAGTTTTTTCTTCTTATTGAAAAATTATTAAAGCTAGTGATTTTTCATAAATTTCAAATTAATTTTGCACAAATTTATTCAAAAATATATAAATTTATATCAAATAAATAAATACGTTTTCTTAAAATTATTCAAGAAGAAGCATGAAATATATGAAAATTTTAAAAATGAAAAATATTTTAAATTCAAATATTTCACTATTTTTGTATCATAAAAATACTTTAAAAGTAAAAATAATTAAATTACTTCAAAATTTTATTTTTTTACAATTTTGTTGTGATCTTGTTTGTAGTTCAAAAAATAATAAAATGCAAAAAAGGCGTTGAATAGTTCACTTATTTGCTCATAAAAATATTAAAAGATTTCCATAATATTTTAATAATATATATAATATAATATAATAATATTTTAATGCTTTTTTGTTAAAGACATTTTATATATTTAGTAATATTAACGCAGTAAATCTATTCTAAAACTATTCAAGAATTTGTCTTTAAAATTTCAGTTTCCAATTCGAAATATTTTAGAAGCTAGACCAGTTTTAACGGTCGAGCATCGAACAGCTCCAGTGCTCGGGTAAAACTTTGAAGTGCGTTTATTCCAGTTTTAATTTTTCAAGTCTTACAAAACGGTGCCGGGTATATCAAAAAGAATATACATACATGCGTACATATGTCCGATTGAAAAAAAAAATCAAAATGATCTAGCTTCAATATTAAATTAATTTCTATTTGGGCAAAAATATTATTTAAACGATTTTTGTTTTACAACTGAATTTTTTATAAGATGATTTTTTCTTTAAATTCGAAAAAATTGTAATTCTCCAATATCTTGAGTTTTTTTTAGTTCATATAAAAGAGGCACTCATAGCTACCGGCACGAGTTCAGACTTCAGCCGATTCAGGAAACTCATCACAACGTTGGAAAATTCCATTATTTTTTGTACTAAAAATTTCTGCAAAAATAGCATAAATATAGTACATTATTGTCTGAAAACTTCGTTTACCGCAATAATTTCTTTCCTCTTCTAACAAATTTAAAAAAAAACATTTTTTTCAGGTTCCAATGCATTATCTCCTTAAAGCTATAATATATTTTTTTTAAACATTAATAAATTTTTAAATAATTTTTCTTTGTTTTAAATGTTTTTTGAAATATATTTATTTCTTCATTTCAATATTTATTTATTTTTATTACTTATATTTTTGAGACTAAAATCTGTTTGCTTAAAAGCACACACAAATATACAAATTAATTATTTAATATTTAAATAAAATAATTATGCATACATTTCATACTTCCCCTTTTCTCAATGTTGACATTAATATTTATAAATAGTGTTTCCATATTCTATGGCTGCCGAAACCAGTTTGAATACACATAATATCTGGGTTAACAGGTGATTGTGCATCCTCAACTAAAAATTCTTAACACAAATGTTGCGTAACATTAAAAATCAAATCATTAAGGGAAATTAGTTAGAAACAGACTAGTTTAAGCTATTATAATATATATATTTAATTATATACTATATTTATGTAAATAAAACTAGTTTTTGATTTGCTTTTAAGTCAAATTAGCAAAAGTTGGTGTGTAAATTTGTTTGGAAAAAGGAAGATAAATACATACAAACAAAATATAACGTTTGAACTTCCGAGTTTGCGGTCAAGGTTGGAATATATTGTACATGCGTATGTACGTATATACCTATGTAAAGCAAATAAAGTAATATTAATAATACCTACTTGTATTGGTGTGATGTATTGACTATTGATTGGTATGTAAAAATGTGCTGATAATTCAAATAAAAGACTGCTATCGAAGAACAGTCGCCTTAACTGAGCTCATTTACAATTTTAAAAAGTAATAAATTGTGTAGTAAAGTTAACGAAAATTATTCCAGCTAATTAAAATAAAATACTTTAAACATTTCATGCCTAATTTTCTAATAAAACAATTCAATTTGGCTCTGCACATGGTTGATTAATATTATTAAACAATTTTTGAAAAGCATTGCAATCAATTAACGATTAAGCTGAAAAATTTTCAGAAATTCGCTTAATATATATTTACCTAAATATAAATAAATGCAGACTAAATAGCTGAAAAAGGTAAGATTTCACTGACTTTTATATTTTTTCTAATATTTAATTTTCTTATAAAAGCAATAAAAAATCAAAAAATATTTTAAAGTCTGGACAACGTACTTTTGTAAAATCGCAAACATTTTGCAACGAATAAAGTCATAAACATTAAAAATCATTG